AACTGCATGAAGGTGTTCAAATTTGCACAAATACAAATTTATGTTACTAATAAAAACATTTACGGATTCATTAGTTTATATATTTTATATTTTAACATACAAAGTTAATGATTCATAAATTTACAAGGTCATAAATTCACACATTCCAAAAATTACCAATTCATCAGGGTACGTACTCACACTTTTACAAATTCATTTTCCCTAACTCACTAACAAGTTCACCAGCTCAACAACAAACTGAACAATTCACTAACAAGTTCATAAATTCACGAATAAGGTAACCAATTCATCAACTCACCATCAAGTTCACCAATTCACTAACGCACTATCAAGTTCACTGAATCAGTAACTCACAAACACATTCACGAACTCGTCAACTACACTGTGATGCATAACTATAGCACCATCTACTTTTTTAGTCGTTCTGTAGTTCAGAGTTAAAATGCAAAAAATCAATTGCAGGAGATGAAATGGTATGGGTCGCAATAAATTTTATATTAAGTCTCATTGAAGTTGCTCTTCTATTAGAAACGATATAATCGAAAATGTGATTTTGGCTTGTTGCGTAACTATAACACCAATATTATTAAATTAACTTCTCTCCATTCAGTTCAACTACAAACTCACTGAAGCTAAATAATTACATTCTTTATTAAAGTACAAATTAAAATTTGACAATACTCTTTGTTGAACAATGCCACGTGGTATTATAGATATTTGACCGAAGAGGAGAAGGGTAAAATTTTGACGTTTAAGAAGGACTAAATTAGTGTACGGGAAATTGCCCATAGGCTAGGGCGCTTACATAAAGTCATTTTCATTTTCGTTAATGATGGCAATAATAAAAAGGATGGTTCAAAGAAAAAATTGAGTCTCCGTACCGAACGAGCAATTGTAAAAGCAGCCAGTAACAGCCAAAACAGCTGTAACCAAATTAAGAAGGGACTCAACTTAAATATTTCACGGTGGACAGTACGTCGAGTTTTGAAAAGTAATCCTAACATGGTGAGGCAGAAATTAAAATCTGCACCAAAACTTCTACCACAGCATAATGTTGCGAGGCTCTCGAATTCATCTATTCTTTGAAACACGAAATTTCTCCATGTTGGAAAGATTTCGACGATACAGATGTCAAAATCTTTTTACACCAATTTACTTAAACTTCTATCATTGATAATGAGGTTATATTTTCGGATGAAAAAAAGTTTAGTCTTGATGATCTGGATGGCTATAATTCATATTGACGAGATCTCCGAAAAGAACCACAATACTTTTCAAAGAGAAATTTTGGCGGACGAAGTGTTATGATTTGCGGTGCCTTTTGCATTGATGGCATGTTGTAATTGGCTTTTTCATCGAGAAAGAGGGGTAGTGATGAGTACACCACAATTTTATCAGACAATTTGTTACCTTTTATAAGACTTTTATAGGACAACGCTATTGTATATACCAGTCGGAAAACAGTATCATGGTTGGAAAGAAACAAAATTAATGTTATTAAATGGCCAGCATGTTCACTAGACCAAAACCCGATGGAAAATATTTGAGCCATTATTGTCCGAAAAGTTTTTATCGAAAATCGACAGTATGAAAATATTTTAGAACAAAAAAACGTAATACTAAAAGCATGTAATGAAATTAGCCAACGAATTTTTCAGAAACACATCAAGAGCATGCCAGATAGAATTTTCCAACTTATAACAAAACAAGGAGGCCCTACAAGATATTAAAATCATATTTATGTGTATATATTTGACATTTATTCACATAGTGCTATAGTTATGCAACGATGAAAAATCAATTTTCATGTTATATTTTCTTATATAGTAAAATAATATCAACAAATTTTTACTGAAGTTCATCGTTCACTATACCCTTCAATTTCATATGGATGATTTTTATGTATTATTATTTCAAAGTCAGAATCTACTAAAAATGTAAGTGGTGCTATAGTTCTGCACCGCAGTGTAGTACACCACGTCACGAATAAGTTCACCACTCACCAGCTTGCTAACTCGTAATGTCACAAGTCCACATTTTTACAAAGTCACCAATACGCAATTTGCAAATTCATACGTTTACAAATTCTAATCCTTACTTTCCAGCTCTTCAAATTCTGTAACTTCATTGCACACAAAATTCAAAAATTTTAAAATTGCACTGAACTTTTCAAATTTCAAAATGTTCAAATATTTCGGCATCCAAACAGTCGAATCGTCAAATTCCTACATTATAGTGAATATTTACCAGTTAAGGTTAGAGCAATTTCGGCAAAGATACAGACCAAAAATGGTGGTTCCATAATGAAAACAAAAATGTATTTACTTTTGTACTTCAGTATTGTTGAATTATGTTTTTCAGACATGAACTATTATCTCCTTTTCTCCACATTCAAAAATAATAGATTCTTAAATTCATTTTCAACATATACAGCGTACAGATTTAACCAGAAACAGTCCGATTTACGTCATACGCGTAGTTTCAAGTACTCGTCACACCAACTTATACCAACAAGTATATCTACCGTCTCTTCGACGTTCTCCTACTTGGTTCGCGTATTCGCGCAACAATCCCGGATCGTGTAATGCGCTGACGAAAGCTTTCCTTGCATGAATACCCAAGTATGCAAATGCCACTACGGCATTAGACGTTTCTCTTCGCTTTCGAACATCACTCGAGGGCTCCTTTCGTTAGACGTTCCTCGCCATTTTCCCTATACCTGTCGCACTTTGTTTTCTCGAAACTTACAATGGTATATTCGATACAGGAACTCATGGTAAAATCCCAGGAATTTATTAGATTTATTAGAAAATTTCAAGGAATTTATTAGAAATATTGTTAGAATATATTCGAGAGTAGAAAAATAAAAATAAGGTTGAAGAGTAATATAAATCTGTCTTTGGTATACTGAAAGAAAGCAAGTAATTGTTCAACTGATAGTATGTTGATAATAAAGAAAAATTATAAGATTATTTTCTATGATAATGTATCTTTATCTTTAAAAATAAAATTGCTATTATATAGTATTTGAGGATCACTAAGTGGTAGAATTTGAAAAAGTAACTTCAATTTAAGTGTTACAAACAAATTCATTAATTCCAGAATTCACCGATCCGCTAATTCAAATATTCCCAAATTTCATATAATAAGTTTCAAATTCTAAATTAATCATAGCACATATTTACATATTTACATATTCACATATTCACTAATTCACTAATTCACAAATTCACCAATTTACAAATCTACAAATTCAACAATTTACAAATTACAAATTTCCCCAATTTACAAATCTACAAATTCTCAAATTTACAAATTTACAAATTAACAAATTAACAAATTGACAAATTTACAAATTCACAAATTCGCAAACTCACAAGTTTACCAATTCACAAATTCACTGTCGTAGAGCCACAAATTCCCAAATTCTCAAATGCACCAACTTAAAAATTGCAAATTAACAGAAATAAATTTATAAATTCATAAATTTACAAATTACAAATTACAAAATCACAAATTTATAAATTTTAAAATTCACCAGTTTACAAATTCACAAGTTTACAGACTAACAGATTCACAAATCCACGAATTCAAGCACAAGCATCAGAAAAATATTACAGAAACTGTCACTGTTGAAATCACACCCCCCAAAATTCAAAATATATTTACCATAAAGAAGTTACACAAATTACACAAAATCTGGAAAAAATTACATTGACCAACACTAATATAATTCCAGCATTTATCAAGAAATAAATCACTTGTCACACTGTAATTTATTCTAGAATATTCCGTGTTTACATTGTCATAACCACGTTAATTATGCCGCTCACATTAATTTATTGTAATAAATTTAGTAAATAAACAAATAAAATAATGTAGAAAAAAGATAATAAAATCCAGAATAAAAGCGCTGATTTCTTTCTTTATAAAATATATTTAACTGCCGACATCGTTCTCTCCGAACCTCGTCTTAAATTAGACGCGCAACTATCGCTTTTACGCTTTGTACCAACCTAACAAACTAAATCAAATTCCTAACCTAATTTGGTCGAAGGAAAGTTGCTACTTTATATACAAATAAAAAGATCCCGTGTAGAATCTGATACAAATTAGAAAACTTTTAAAATAAACTACTAGAGTATTATTTTTGAGAGAACCAGTAGATCTCGGAAACACGAGTCAGTCCTCTTCGTTCCATCCTCGAGGACGTGTCCGGATTACGGATGTCGGCGATTTCCACAATGCGTTCCACAATGCGTTTCTCTTCGTTTTTTCTTCCACGATGCGTTTTTGTAGCGTGTTTTCAGCATGCGCCCGTGCTGGATGCACTTGCCAAAATAAATAACCCAGCCACCGTAAACCCAAGGCACGGCTTGTCTTATTCCTGCCACGGCATACGTATCGACTGCTCACCTTCTGTGCCTGTTTTACCCACTCAAAGTGTTTGCTTTAGTCCAACACGTATGCCGCTGCAATTTTAGCTCACTCCTTAGGTGCAAACTGTACCTACTGCCAATTTCAAGTGGTACGATTGTACTTCTACTTCAAATAACAGATGTTCGATTGTATCGACGTTTGAGTCTTTTTTTATAGGATGTATTTTTGTTTAGTGCTTTTTGAAATGATTTAGGATCAATATTTCTAAATTAAAAATGTCTGTGTTGATGATTAGAGAATTGCTTAATGCAGGGAGGTGGTTTTAGTGCTATTTAGAGGTTAATTTGGATGACAGGTGTGTGCATCTAAAATTCAATTTTTTAATTTTTTAATTTCTTACTTTTTAATTTTTTTACTTTTTTACTTTTTTAAGTGTTTAATTTCTAGATTTTTGAATATGTAAATTTCCGCACTTCTGAATTACTGAATTACTGAATTTCTAAATATTTGAACTTGTTAATTAGTGAATTACTGTGTCACTAACTTACTGAATTATTGAATTACTGGATTACTGAATTACTGAATTACTGAATTACTGAATTACTGAATTACTAAATTGCAAATTCCTGAAGTTCTCATTGCCCAAATCTCAAAATTGGTGAGTTACTAAACTTGTATATTTTCGAATTTTCTAATTTCTACCTTTCCAAATTTTTAGCTCCTAAATTTCAAAATTCTGAAAATTTCAAATTCCCAAATATGTACATTCTCAACTTCTGAAATTCCTACATTTCTAAATACAAAAATTCCCAAATTTTCAAATTCTCAACTTCCCAAATTTCTAAATACAAACGGGCTAATGACCATAGTAGTCGACGCCCACAACAATAATCAATCAATCAATCTAAATATAAAAATTTCCAAATTTCCCTATATCCAAATCCCAAAATCCCTAGCAATGATAAACAATAGAACCTCCACCCCCTTGTCAATACTTTATCCTACAATCCCATAAATGCATTCATAATTTTATTGTACTCGCAAATGCTAATGAATAGTCTTAAAGTCGCACTTTAAAATTTCCAGTTGTTTTTAAACACCATGTACGCAACGGACACAATCTGTGAAATCAACAAGAATGGAGAAACACAGGGTTCACACAATAAGCAACCTACTAACGAGACGAAGGACTGAAGATCACGTTCGGTGGTCCGATTTTGTTCCCTTTTTTTTTGCACGAAACGGACCCGATTCCGTTGGACCGAACGTTTCCACAGGAAGAAAAGAATCGAAACCGAGGGATGAGAAACGAGGAAAATCGTGGCGGGGACGGCGACGATTTCGTTCGTCGATAAAATAAATAGAAACGTAGCGACACGTACGGCGCCGTATACGTGCCGCCCAATAAGAGCTCTCTTCGAACATGCGAATGTTTCCTATCCTTTTTTTAACTGAGATTTTTCTTGACACTTGTGTTTCTATTAAATTCACATACTCGCATAATGTTGTTGATAAGAATACTTTCAGAATGTATTTGAATGAATTTGTACTATTATATGCTGATATTTTGTTTTCATTTATTAAGTAATGGTTTGTTTTGATGTTATGAGGTGATTGTTGTATTAGTTAGAAACAGTGCAGATTTTTGAGCTTGGAAATTTAGAAATTTGAAATTAGCTTAGTAATTGGTATATTTTGAAATTCATAGATTATTTATTTAATTATTTTAATGTTGAAATTAATGTTAAAATTAATCTTAATGTTCATTATTTACTGAGTTACTAATTTGTACATTTATAAATGCATTTATTAAGTAATGGTTTATTTTGAGTGTTATAAGGTGATTGTTGTTCTTGTGTTTAGAAACATTACAGGTTGTTGACCTTGGAAATTAAAAAATTTGTAATAAGTTTAATAATTTGTATATTTTGGAATTCATAGTTCATTGATTTAATTATTTGTTAATCTTGATATTCATTATTTACTGAGTTAGTAATTTGTATATTTATAAATGCATAATGTAATAATTTAATAATTTGTAAGCCAAGAAATTCATAGTTTATTGATTTAATAGTTTGGAAATTTAGAAATTTGTTATTTACTGATTTAATAATCTGTAAACTTTTGAAGTCATAACTAACTTAGTTTATTAATAATTAGTTTATTAATTTTATAATTTGTACATATAGAAATTTATTATTTATTGATTTTATAATTTTTACATTTGGAAATTCATTATTTATAGATTAAGATAATGAAATTTTAAAACTTATAATTTATTGATTTAACAATTTGTAATTGTAAAAAGTTACAATTTATTAATTTGGTTATTTGTAAATTTAAAAATGTATTATTTATTGTTTTGATAACTTGTACATTTAGAAATTCGTTACTTACTGCTTTAATGATTTGTAAATTTAGAAATTCATTATTTACTAGTTTATTAGTTTTGCAACTCTTACTATTATCATATAACATAATATAATAATATAATAATTTATCATCAATTATATAATAATAATATAATAATTCATCAAGTCAAAAATTCGAATTTTATTTTATGTAATAATCTGCAAATTTAAAGATTCATAATTTATTGATTGAATAATTTATCAAACTAGATATTGAAGGTATTTTATTTAATAATTTGGTAGTTTAGAAATTTATAATTTTATTTGATCTAATAATTTACCAATCTAGAAATACATAATTTACTAACTTAATAATTTGTTAATCTAGAAACTCATAATTTATTAATCCAATTCAAAAAATTTAGAAACTTTTTAATCAGGAAATTCGAAAATTACAAATTTTGTAATTTTGAAGTTTATAAATTTAAATATTTCAAATCTTCAAATTCAAACATTCAAAAATAGCGGAATTAAATATTGTTCATTTTCATGTCTATAAATTTTACGAACTGTCATATGAAGATTGTATCAAGTCAAATGTTCAAATTTAATCTGGCCATCGATGACAACGAGTACCCATCACTTGCTCTCGCGAGCGCATTTGCTCTCATCACACATCAAAATTTATACATAAAATGAAACGAAAAAACAACCCCTATTACTCAGTAGACAGTTATTACCTATTACCCAAAATTCCCATTCAATGTTATCCTTAATCATGAAAGCAACACGATATCAGAATAACGATATGAGTCGGAGTATTTTATTGGAGTCGCAAATGACTCCCCTTGATTTTGGCTAAAACTTTGAAGGACAGGATTGTTAGTCGTCATCAGTCAAAGATTCGGAACACCTGAGCCAGAACCACGGTCGCATTCCTGGCTTATGAAGGGTCATAGCAGTTCGAGACCCCCGGATTCTAGAATCTCAAAGGTCCCGTTCCAAGCTTTCGCTCACAGCCACGGTCTCGTGAAGCATGGTAGTCCAAACTGCTAGGAAGTGATCCGTGGAAGGTCGTACCACTCGCGTTTCGACCGTTTCAAATTCCTCGAACGTCCGAGTTCACGATGGCTATGCCATTTTGTGGCTTCATACCTGACGAACGCCTAGGGAACGGAACCACTTATCGAAGTCCTCGAGTATTCGTATATTTCCCGCCAGAATTCTCTTAGATGTAATTTCATATCGCGTCACTCGACATCGGACACGCGTTTAATACTCCTCCATTGTATTCACCGATGTGGTCTACAACGCAGGACAAAGCTGGTGACGGGATGATCAAAATAATTGGTTCAACATTTTTTACAAAATGGCGTCTCTGGCAGTAGAATTGTACTGTTGAATAATTATTGTTCCACGTCTATATTTGTCGATTATTTGTTCCAATGATAAATTAGTTAGAAGACCCTCATACAGTTGTATGCAGTACACTTTAAACTTTAAATTGATATATCCTAATCGCCATTTTGTAGTACTTTTCTGTCATGAAATTATATTAGAATATGTTCGAAAATCAGTAACTCGGAATAAAGTAACTATTGCCACAATTGATAATCCACCATTTTGTAAGAATATTTACAAGATACCTATGCAGTAATTTTTCTCAAATTTTAAACTTTAAACTCGAGTATGGTAGACGCCATTTTGAGATACTTTTCAGTCATGAAATTGTATTAAACTTCATATGTTTCTGACATTTCTTGCACAAGAATGTAAACATTTATTATAATTAAAGTTCTGTTATTTGTTATTAAAAGGTGCATGTACACAGTAATGTTTATTAGACCTTCGTCTTTAATTTGATGTATCATAAATGCTATTTTATAATACTTTTCTGTCATGAAATTATATTAGCGTACGTATCGAAATATGGCATATGTAAATGCAAGAATGTAATTGTTCGATTCAATTAACGGTCCACCATTTTGTATTACGAATATCATTGGGGCATTTATGTGGTAACATTCCTTGGACTTTAAGCTTTACTTTGATGTGTCATATGTATCATTTTGTAACACTTTTCTGTCATGACTTTCTACATTTACAAATCTTGCCATGTAAAAATGTAATTCTTCATATTTGATAATCCGTCATTTTGTATAATCCTTATTATTTACGTAAAACTTAGTTACATAAAATATGTCAAAGATAAAGCAAAATAATTAATACTTGTTACATTTTAAACGTCTACCATAGCATGTGAACGTTTTTAAAAGATTACATTTGTTTGAAAAAATTAATGAGATTCGAAATTCTTCAACCAGACGTAGTAATTAGCGTTAACGAGGGCGTTTGACCATATGATTCGAAGATAATGACTTCAGGATTCCGGCGGAATTTTAATGACGTACTTTAAGTCACCCTGCTCCTTAATCCTGCCTTCTGTTAACTGTAACGAGAACAAGAGAAGTGTTCGCGACAAAAGCATAATGACGCCATAATACGTGTCCTCTCGAAAAATAATACAGTTACTATAAGTAACTCCAGATGATGAAGACAAACAATTAAATAAAAAACAAATGGAATTTTCGTCTGATTGTTTTTCACGTTCTTGAAATTCTAAAAGTTCTAATTTACAAATTTTCTGTAGTTTTAAATATTCAAATTTATAAATTTTTTCATTTCTAGATTCTTGAATTCTTAAATTGCTAAGTTTTGAAAAGAATAAATACTCTAATTCTTTAATTCCCCAATACTTAAATCCCTAAATTCTCAGATCCTCGAATTCTCCATTTTCTAAATTCTCAAAACCTCAATTTCTCAAATTCGCAAATTTCCAATTTCCCAAATATTCAAATTCAAAAATTCTCACAATTCTTAAATTTCCAAATACCCAAATCCTCAAATTTTCGAATTCACAAATTCTCAAATATCCAAATTCCCAAATCCTCAAATCTCCAAATTTATATATTCCCAAATACTCAAATCCCAAAATTTCTAAATTCCAAAATACCCAAATCCCTAAATTCCTAAATTTCCAAATACTCAACTCTCCAAATTCTCAAATCCCCAAATCCCAAAATTCCCAACCCCCAAATTTCTATCTCTTCAAATTCCAAAATCTGTAGATTCACAAGTTCCAACATTTCCAACCCCCAAAACTCAAAAATTTTCAAACTCCAAATTAAAAATTTCACTACTGACAATTACACCCACAACATGTATCCCCCCCAAAATACCATAATTTCACCAGTTCACACAAAACAATGAAGACAAACCGAAATAAAAGATGAACATAATTTTTATTTGACATTTTGTTCAAAATCTAATCGTCATTTATAATTAACGCGTTCGCTACCAGCACCCAGTTCAAAATACACCGCAATATAAATAATGAAAAAGTCACGCCTCGAATTCTACTTAAAAAGCACGTAATCCACACTTAGCGAACGTGTTAATGTAAATAATTACTTGCATCGGTTTCGATATCCATAACATTTTAATATCTAGTTCCACAGTTACATTCAATGCATAATAACAACACATTCGGTACATATGAAGATGTTGAATTCGAGAAAAACAGAAAATCGAAAACTGTGGAAATCGTTCCCCGATAAAAATACACACTTTGAAACAGTGGCGCACTCAGAGTACCAAAAAACACTAGAATAAAAAACTACTAAAAAATTTTCCAAAAATCCCGGTTCAAATTCCTTTTCTAATTTATACCTCCTATTTCTATAAATTTTATAAATCATTACGAATTATCTATTTATAACATAATTTATAAAATGCAGTAAAAGATTTTATTTTTTCAAAATACAGAATTGAACTTCAAATTTGCGTGGTATTAAAAATATTTTTATTTGTTCAACTAGAGTCGCTGCAGGATAAAAATCCTGAGTGCGCCACTGCTTCAAAAGGCAATACAAATGTACGTATCGATCGTCGTCTCTCTCAGGATCCGCGTTATCCTTCGAAACTTGGTTCCCGACGATCCTGCACAATTCCTTTTCCCCCGTCGCATAATTGACCTCGTTATATTTACGTTTATTATCTATTTCTTGTCAAGTCTCCTCCCGTTCCCAGCTCCACTCCACCTCCTCCGATTTGCTCCTCGCTCCTGTTTTATAAACATCCGACTGCTCCTCCTCAGACGGCCAATTAAGCCTCAGAGAGTCCTCCTCCGCGTCCGATGATCTCGAATTAGCTTTGTTAGCTTCGATGCTCGCGTCGCTCCGTTCCACCGACTCCGTCTCCTCGGATTTCGAGCTGGTCCTGGTGTTTTCCTCCGTGTCCGTGCTCCTGCTGCGTGCCAGACTGACGGACTCAGACTCATCATCCGCGAATGCGCCCATGTCCTCGTACTGTTCACCCCCGGCTTCCTTTTTCTCTTCAGGAACCTCCTTCTTCAACTTCTCCTTCGGTTGTTCCTTGGACTCTTTGATGACGTACGCGGAGCCGTCCTCCTCTGACCGGGATTTCTGCATCTGCCAAGCCTTCTTGAAGGGATGTTCCCTTTCCTGCTGCACCAGCTTAGGCCTTTCTGGAAGAAGGTACTCGGGATCCTCCTCGCTTGCCTGACTTTTCACGATCGACTCCCTCTTGAACAGTCCCATGGAGCCAGCCTTGGGCACGCCTTCGTTACCCTCGGTCTTTACAACGTTCCACCCAGAGTCTGCCAGATCAGAGTCATCCTGGGGTAGTTTGGAGAGGTCCTGGACCGATATTCTCTTGCTGTCCTTTGTCAGGACAAAGTTGAACTCGGCTACGTCCTCGTCCTCCTCTACGGAGGTGATCTGACTACTGCTGGTGTAAGATCGCCTTCGCGATTCGTCCCATGTAGGCTCTTCCTCGCTTGGAATCTCTTCCCTGGGAGGTGGAGCACGTTCACGGTACTCCCTTCGTCGAGCGTACGCTGCGTCCTCTTCGGGCTCGCTACGCTCTTGGGACGAACCGAGCTGAGCCACCCGCGAGCCCACACTGATCGTCCATGAATCCATGTTGTCGTTCGCCGAGGGATCCTTGAGGAGGGCTATCTTCCCCTCCGCCGATGATCTCCTTCTCAAGGAACTTAAATCTTCCTCGTCTTCGTAGGAGCCCGGCTGGTGCTGCTGCGTCGTCAGCTTCTCCATAAATTGTTTCCTACGTATCCTCAACTCGCTCTCCCAATCCTCTTCGTCGCTTATCCTCGGCTCCACGGCAGGATGTCTTTTTTCGATTTTCCTACGCTGCGAGGAAAGCTCGTCTTCGCTCTCGGAGGAGAACGCTCGCCTGCCGTCGCCGGGTTTCAAGAGCGAGGGATGGGCTCTTGTTTGTCTTTGCGCGGGCTCGCGTTCCTCCGATTTGCTGAAGAGCCTTTTAGAGTCCGGACCTCTGGAGGATGAACGTTCCTTACCGACCAACTCCCACGAACGATAATCGTCCGATTCCCTAATCACGGATCTCCCTCTGGATTCGGATCTCCCTCTGTAACGTCTCGGATCTTCCTCCTCCTCCTCTTCGTCTCTCCTCCTCTCGTACTCCTCCTCGTTCTCGCTCTCCCGTGTTGACAATCTCTTAGCGTCGAGACTCCTGGAGAGCGAGCGTCTGCTTCGCTTAATAGCTTCTTCTCGCTCCTGTTGCATCCTGGAGAGATCCAGCGCGTCGTCCTCCGGCTCCTCGTAATCCCTTTGACTGCTTCTGCTTCGTCTTCCTCTTCTTCTGTACTCCTCGTCGTCTTTCGATAATCTTCTGTTCGATTCCTTGATCCACTCCCAAGCTGGAATCGCCTCCTCCGTCTCCGAATCGTGACCGATGAACGATCTCCTTCGTCCACCTGCCTTCTTCAGGATCGGCAGCTCCACCTGTTCCTCATCCTCCACCACCTCGTGACTGTACTTTACCCCACCGTCCACTATGTCTCTCTGCCAGTCCCATCCGGTGGAGGATATTTCGTCTTCTTCGAAAACCTTCTTCTCCTCGATTTCCCCTATTTTCACTTGCTTTTTCTCCTCCTGAGTCTCGGAGGATGTTTCTTTGCTGGGGACATCCGTCGACAATGCATCGGTACTTTCCATTACCACGTTTTTGATTTCTTGCATAGGAACGTCGAAGAACAGAGTGACGACAATCGATACGACCACGACCGTGGTTGCTTCCACTGGATCAATCTGAAAATTGTTCGAGTGATTAATTTGTACGACGACCTTCTGGGTCTTAAATCACGTACGGCTCTATGAGGCTGAAACTCGCTGGAGTATCTGGTGGTCCCAACGTTGTAGAAGAATACTGTGAATTGCGTCAAGTACACCGCGTACGAAATTCTGCTGAAGATCACCAACCAGTGATTCGAGAGGAATCTGTTTATTGGACCTGCAATAAATATCATTGCAGCGAGTTCGCCAGAAACCGTTGATTAAATAATTCGTAGAATTTCGTTGACTGACATGAAACAGACCTCCGTGATTCGTGTAGCATGCAAATATGAGCCAGCACAAGGCCAAAGCCCACACAACCGGACTGATAACGGCGTAATGGGTTGCTTCTTCAGCATCGTACACGTAGTCCCTCCTGGCCAAGTGCCAGGGTGAAAATAACGACCACGATCCCAAGGCCATCGCGATTAACCATCCCAAGATCACCAACACCTGAAATTGGTGCATCAAGTTTACGACAGGTCACGGTCACTGGATGAAAGACCTTGTTCGAATCACAACAGGTGATACCTTGTGGATCCTGACGTCTTTTCCGGTGTAACGCAGCAGCACACCAAGCGTTACGCCAAACATGTATGGCGTGGCTCTATGCAATGGCAATACGTAAATTAAATTTGCGGTCCTGTAAAGGTGCTTTAGTCTGAAATCAAAAGATGGTACAATGTGAATAATTCAAAAAGTGATCTTGATATTGACGTATGCCAAAGTTACATGATCTTCAGAATTTTTTCTTTGCTTGGTGTTTATTAAAAATTAAGGAGACGACAAACGTATAGTATAATAGAGTGAAGAGGTTTAGAGACATTTTAGACTATATGTAACACACTTAGGTGAATTATGAGCAAAGGTTGAAACTTTCTGAAGGTCACTCAGAAGAGTATGTGATGAATTCAAAATAAGAAGATCAAGTAGGTTCTTTATATGAAATTTGGTAAATGATGAAAATAAACTTACGACATTCCGTGAAAAATCACTAAGGAAAGATAGTTGTTCATCGTCGCTATATAGCGAAGCGTGGCTGATAGTAAAACGAAGAAGAATACTAAAATAACTCCAACGATCGGCTTAAACTCTAAGAAAAATACTAACATCGGAGCTAACAACGACAGTTGCATGTCCAATGCCAACTGATGCGTATGAGTAGCGCACTAAAAGAATGAAATAAAAAGTACATTAAACAAGTAATTGGGGTGATGTCTGATAACGAAAAGATTTATACGCAAAAATCTCGGATATCTTAGACAATTTGAAATGATTTAGATACCATTTCTTCGAAAGGAAAGAAATTTTGTATATACAGTAAATTCGTCCACGCGTTGCTCTTACAAAGCTCGGCGTTTGGCAGTATGATGCTGTTCCATTGTGGTCCCGTTCCCGTGTGTTCCATTACGTACGCATACCAAAACACCACGGCGAGTAACGCTGGAGTTAACCTAAAAGCAATTTTTTTTTATTTTGAGGTTGTTTTTTATGGTTGTTAAAAAAGAGCCGTGATATTTGTACATTGCAAGGGATTTCGTGATTATTGTAGATAGACATCTGGGATTTTAGTTTGAAAATTTAAGAGGGAATTTTGGGATATTTGAAGAACTGGAAATATGGAGGTTTAGGGATTCCCTGAGAGAAATTTGCTTTTTTGGCAGTTTAGAAAATGGAGAATTTTATAATTTAGGAAATTTGGTAATTTCTATATTTTAGAATTTTGGAAATTTGGTAATTTCTATATTTTAGAATTTTGGGAATTTGGTAATTTCTATATTTTAGAATTTTGGGAATTTTTAAATTTGGAAATGGGGAATTTGGAAATTTGGAGTTATGCAAGTTTTGAATTTTTGAGTTTTTGAATGTAGGAATTTGGAAATTTAGGAATTTAAAAATTTAGGGATTTTAGAAAGGGGATTTGGGAAATCAGGGATTTGAGAATTAAGGAATTTTGATATTTGGAAATTTAGGAATTTGGCGATTTGAGAATGTTGATATTTGAAAATTTGAGAATTTAAAAATTTGGGAATTTGGAAATTTGGGTTTTTGGGAATTTGGGTATTTGGGAATTTGGGAATTTGGGAATTTGGGTATTTGGGTATTTGGGAATTTGGGTATTTGGGAATTTGAGAATTTGGGAATTTGAGAATTATGGAATTGGGGAATTTAGGAATTTAGGAATTTGGAAATTTGGGTATTTGGGAAATTTGGGAATTTGGGAATTTGGGAACTTGGGTATTTGGGTATTTGGGAATTTGAGAATTTGGGAATTTGAGAATTATGGAATTTGGAAATTTGGAAATTAGGAAATTTGGAAATTTAGAAATTTAGAAATTTGGAAATCTGGAAATTTGGAAATTTGGAAATTTGGAAATTTGGAAATTTGGAAATTTGGAAATTTGGAAATTTGGAAATTTGGAAATTTGGAAGAATTTGGGAATTTTAGAATTTGGGAATTTTAGAATTTGGGAATTTGGGAACTTGGGAACTTGAAAATTTGGAAATTTGGAAATTTGGGAATTTTGAAATTTGGGAATTTTGAAATTTGGAAATTTGGGAATTTGGGAATTTGGGAACTTGGGAACTTGGGAACTTGGAAATTTGGAAATTTATAAATTCATAAATTTGGAGATTTAGAAATTTAAAAATCTGGAAAATAGGTTATATGAAAATTTGAATAGTTGAAGTTTTAAATATATGGAAGTTGTAGTAATCTAGAATTTGGAATTCCACAAAATTTTCAAATTTTTGTGTTTAGAACTTATAAAATTAATAAATTCAAAACTACAAAAACTTGAAAATTTGAAAAATTAGCAGTACAAAGATATGAAAATCTAAAAACTGAAAAGTACAAGCATATGAACATTTAAAAGAACAAAAATTGAAAATGCAAAAGTTTAGAAATGTAATAATTTGACCTATAAAAGTTTCGTCTAAAAAATAACTAAAAGTTACCTAATATATCTTGCGATAAAACGACAAAACCAGCGGATTTCGCCGCGTTGTACAAATTCATGCGCCATATTGTAAGCAGTCAGAACACCGCTGAGCAATAAAAAGGAGTCCGTATAAACCATTGATCCCCTTAAGACGGAGCTAACTGGATTGTTCGCCACCTGTTCCAATAAACATCAAAATTAAGTGACACTAATTGACTATCGATAGATTTTTATCCTTACCTCCGTAAGTTCGATTCGATTGGAAAAGGGTAATCTTGAGATTGGTATAAGCTGATGAGCGATGTAAAGAACGATCGTTACGAGCGCTCTTATTCCGTGAATGCACGTGATTTCCGCTTTGTTCGATCCCTTTTTCAATAAAGATCTTATGGTTCTTCGTAAGGAAAAGGACATTATTATTCTCTCCGAATAATTTCCTGTTGAAAATGAGGAAACGGTGAAGACATCATTTTCAAATAGCGAAACTGTGTTACTCGTTTGAGAATTTACCTTTTCCTTCTGATACAACCAGGTAGTCTCTCACGGTCGCCACAACGACGAGACATAATACCATTGCGTAAAAATACCTGTAAACAAATATACAATTATAATTCCCCTTATAGTGTTATACTTGGAAATTTAGAAATTTGGAAATTTGGAAATTTGGAAATTTGGAAATTTGGGAATTTGGGAATTTGGGAATTTGGGAATTTGGGAATTTGGGAATTTGGGAATTTGGGAATTTGGGAATTTGGGAATTTGGGAATTTGGGAATTTGGGAATTTGGGAATTTGGGAATTTGGGAATTTGGGAATTTGGGAATTTGGGAATTTGGGAATTTGGGAATTTGGGAATTTGGGAATTTGGGAATTTGGGAATTTGGGAATTTGGGAATTTGGGAATTTGGGAATTTGGGAATTTGGGAATTTGGGAATTTGGGAATTTGGGAATTTGGGAATTTGGGAATTTGGGAATTTGGAAATTTGGGAATTTGGAAATTTGGGAATTTGGGAATTTGGGAATTTGGGAACTTGGGTATTTGGGAATTTGGGAATTTGAGAATTTGGGAACTTGGGAACTTGGAAATTTAGAAATTTGGAAATTTGGAAATTTAGAAATTTGGGAATTTGGGAATTTGGGAATTTGGGAATTTGGGAATTTGGGAATTTGGGAATTTGGGAATTTGGGAATTTGGGAATTTGGGAATTTGGGAATTTGGGAATTTGGGAATTTGGGAACTTGGGTACTTGGGTATTTGGGAATTTGGGAATTTGAGAATTTGGGAATTTGGGAACTTGGGAACTTGGGAACTTGGAAACTTGGAAATTTGGAAATTTGGAAATCTGGAAATCTGAAAATCCGGAAACTTGTAAATCTGGAAATCTGGAAATTTGGAAATTTGGAAATCTGGTTATAATACCATTGCGTAAAAATACCTATAAACAAATATACAATTGTAATTCCCCTTACAGTGCTATACAAATTACTAATATACTGTTTCTTGCTAAATTACACTTTATACATTACAGAAATAAATTTTCTAAAAAACACATTTCTCGTTTGAGTTGCATTTTATACGTTATAACCACAAAACTCTATTTTGTATCTCGATAAAAATATAAAATAGTAAAATATTAATTATTCATCGTATGTCTCTATATTATACAAATTTTGTTCGGAACCATTTTTTTTGTACGAACGGTTCGCAAGTAGATTATTTAGACAGGACAGTTAGATCATCCTGTATATTATAGTACGAGGCGGGTGGATTACTATGTAACTAAGAATACGTACAAAACACCTATAGTTTCTTTGGAATAACTTCGTAACTTCTGTTTGACGTAACACATGTTAGGATCAACGTCGACTATGAACTTAATTCCTATCGTAGAATTGTAATCTCTCAGCGCTTGTTCCAGTACGCTTTGTGCATCATCTGCGGAACACGCTGCTGGAAGGCACAGTGCCCAATTCACTGTCGTGAATTTTGGAATAAAATGGCCAGGCTGGAAAATATGAATAAGTGTTGTAATTATTGTTGCTGTTGTTATTGTTACTGCTATTGCTATTGCTACTAGTATTGTTATTGTTATTGTTGTTAGTGTTATTGCTGTAATTACTATTGCTATTACTGTTTTTGCTGTTTTTATTGCTGTTATTATTGTTGTTGCTGTTGCTATTGCTGCTACTATTACTGTTGCTGTTTCTGTTTTTTCTATTGTTGCTATTGCGGTTGCTCTTGCTGCTACTATTACTGTTGCTGTTTCTATTTTTTCTATTGTTGCTATTGCGGTTGCTATTGCGGTTGCTATTGCGGTTGCTATTGCTGCTAGTATTACTGTTGCTGTTTCTATTTTTTCTATTGTTGCTACTGCGGTTGCTATTGCTGCTACTATTATTGTTGCTCTTTCTATTTTTGCTATGGTTGCTATTGCTGTTGCTATTGCTGTTACTATCGCTGTTACTATTGCTGTTACTACGGTTGTTACTATTACTATTGCTATTGCTGTTGTTATTGCTTTTGTTATTGCTGTTGCTGTTGCTGTTGCTGTTGCTACTTTTGCTATTGCTGTTACTATACTTGCTATTGTTGATATTATCGCTACTGTTCCTCTTTTTATTAATACTGCTATTGGAGCTATTGCTATTGCTATTACTATTGTTGCTATTGTTGATATTGTCGCTATTGTTCCTATTGTTATTAGTACTACTATTGCCGCTATTGCTATTGCTGTTACTATTGTTGCTATTGTTGCTATTGCTCCTGCTATTGCTGCCACGTAACAATAAATGTGTATGTATTTATGATATATATAAACCTGTTTGATTATTAAATATATATTAAGAAGATCAGTAATATTATTTAACGATTAGAATACTATTCGCAAAACAAAAATTGTCCACTTACGTCATTCATGTTTCCTCGTACGAAAGCTCGCGACTGCATCATATTAACCGGAAGCTTCATGTCCGGGCGAGCCGGGTACAAATCTATATTGGCTAAACAATATTTGCCCTGCACCTTTATGGTCTTGTCATCCAATTTCACGTGTGCCATTATTCCCAAACACTCGTCAAAATCTCCCAACTGGTTGACGTTTCCCCTCAACAGGCCCGACGGGATTTTTGCACTCGAATCTAACACTGACACGCGAACAAACAGAATTATCGCGATGTATTCAGTCATACATTTTTTATTTTATAGAAGATCACTTACTTTGCAGGGCCCACAACTTGTAGCCCCTCAACTGTCTCAGGAAGATCCTGCCGTGCTGCTGACACTCGAAATCTTCGATGCTCGTAAAATTCGGCACGAAGGTCGGCACTCGTAGAATTGCATCGTTCAATTGTGCCAAAGTAAAAGGCTCGCGCGTCCGCGTTTTCCTTTTATCTTTCGACTCGTCTTCTACAAACAATCATATGCATCAGATACCAATTAAAACAGACGCGATCTCGCGATACTCACTATCGGATCGTTTAACTTCCGCGGGCTTAGTCGGAACGGATTTCACACCGGCTGTTTTCACTTTTCCTTTCTCCGATTTCTTCGGTTGTTCCTGCGCTTTCGGCGGTTCCGCCTTCGCGGCAACTTTCTTCTTCACCTCCGACTGCGTTGTTGCTTTAGGTTTAGACGATTCCGATTCAAGTTTCGTTGGCTTGGCGGATTCGACTTTTTTCGAAGCCTCGCTCGACTTTGTCGGACTTTCGGTTAACGTTTTCGGCCTGTCGGCTTTCTTTGGTGTTTCTTCAGATTTCTTCGCCGTTTCGGGTGTTTCTTTGGGTTTAACCTTTGGCTTTTCCGGAGGAGGTGCTACAGTTACAACTTCCGCTGACCTAACTTTGTCTTTATCCGCGTGCCTGACCTTTTCTAGCTTTCTTGGTGGAGGAGTAGGAATTACTTTTTCTTCTTCATCTTCGTCCTCGTCTTCGTCTTCGTCTTCGTCTTCATCTTCATCTTCATCGTCGTCATCATCATCTTCATCATCCTTTGATTCTTTTTCTTCCTCCTTTTCTTCTTCCTCTACACTTTTCGTTTTCATGTCCTCCTTCGACTCTTTCTCATCTTCCACAGACTTTCTTTTAAACTTCTGAATCGTCTTCGGCTCTTCCGACTCATCCTCCTCGTCATCTTGATCTTCGTCTTCATCAGAATCCTCTGCTACCTGTTCGTCGCTCGCCACTTCTTCCCCCGAGTCCTCCACCTCCACGACCACCTCGTCTTCGTCATCGTCGACATGAACGCTCCTAGCTTTTCCCGCGATCCCATCACGTCCAGTTCTTTCGAATCTCGATCGTACCCCCTCTGTCCCCGTGTCGTCATCATCGGTCGACGTCACCTCGACAGGTGGTTTTCGAGTGCTGGCAAGCCGCGATGCTGGCGCGTCGTGCCACTTTCGAGTAGTCGACGTTGTCGCGGTCGTCTTCTCCTGGCATCTGCCAAAGATGGAAGTGCAAGTGGCGTGATGCGGTTGGTCCAGCGGCGAGGGGGCCGTTTGGCCGGCGTGTTCGCGTATCCTGAAGGCATAGCAGCAGCTGTAGAGAAGAAGGACGATCGCTAGTAAGCCGATACACTTGCCCAAAAGGGCGGAAGCCATGTCACCGGAGCGTTTGCATGGAAGAGCGGCTGACGGAGCGAGCACTGGTGTTAACGAGCGTTGGCCGACTAGTCGGTTCGGTACGGCTGGGCC